ATATGCAGTGTATTATTTGTTGAAACTGTACTTTCGATTTGATTTGAAACTGTGTCATTGCTATATGTTTATCAATAAAACTTTGAAAAGAAAAAAAAAAAAGAACATGCCTAGAGTATATACAGTTCAGGTGAAGAAAAAGTAGAAGTTAAAGTTTCAAAGATAGGCTAAAGACTTCTGGACAAAAAGGCCTTTTCTCCCCTGTATTCATTTCCAAATTACCCCAAAATCAACCAGGAAAACAGACACTTCATTCTTATGATGCAAAAAGATTCTTACCACTTAAACTGTAATACAGAAAACAATTAGAAGGAATAAAAAATGACTTAGAATAGTAGTGTCAAGCTTCAAGAACCCAAACAGATAACTCACCTCAAAGTGTTTCAAGAATTAAAGACAATAAATACTGTATATGGTATGAAAAAAGAGAACAAGTACAAACTGAATTCTGTAGAGTAAAACTTCCCTGGGTTCACTCAACCCTCTCATCCTGAATATCTAAGAGAGAATTAACCCTAGCCCATCATTGGAAAGGATTGCATTAAGAGACTAGGTAAGGAAAGTAGCTCAATTGTAGGGCCTGTGCTTACCATTTTAAAGCCCTCAGCTCACTCCCAAGTCATGGAAAAAGGAACTACAGGGCTGGGGAGATGGCTCAGAAGAATAAGCGCTTCCCTGCAAGCACAAGGGCCTGAGTTGAATCCCCAGGTCCACCAAAAAAAAAAAAACCCAAAAACCTCCAAATATGAATTTTCTAAGCACAGGGAGGGGTAAAGAACAAGAATGTATAGGCCAGCCAGACAGCTCATCAGATTAAAGCACCTGCTTAGGCAGACACAGGGACCAGGGTTTGATCCCTGGAGTGCCAAGACAACTCTGCCCCCAGGGTGCACTGAGTCAGAGATGGAGACTGGGAGTGGCAATGCATGCCTGTAATCCCAGTGTTTGGGAAGCTGAAAATAGGATAATCAGAGTCCTATCTGTGTAGTGAGACCCTGTAGATCCTGTACTAAATACATAAAAAAAAACATCATTTAAAGTTAAGTGTACACAATGCGTTAGATTCAGCCTGCCCTTTTGTGCCCTGCCCAACTCCATTCCATAATACATACACCAAGTTCATTACCAGATAGGAATTTCAAGAACCTCATGGCAAAAAAAATCCTACAAATAACAATGCTTAGGAATTCCAAGGGGGAGGGGAAAAAGAACAATAGTTGTCCATGTGATCTACTTACAAAGAAATCCAATAATCTGTAAATTCTATCCATACACAAGAACTCCCAACAAGATTTTGTGGCACATTACTATTTGTTTTTCTTGTTATAATAAACAATTTTAAGTTTTAAAAAGACTTCTTTGGGAAATGTGGCTTAAAAATAAAGTACAAAAGAAAAACTTAACTTTTTCAAAAGATCTAAGCACAAAATATAAACTGAAGTATCAATCAGAACTTAAAACTCTAAAATGTTTATTAAAACAAGCCTACAATTCTTTTTTTTGGGGGGGGGGGCAGAACTGGGGATTGAACTCAGGCCCTTAGCACTTGCCAGGGAAGTGCTTATTCCACTGAGCCATCTCCCCAGCCCTACAATTCTATCTTACTCTTAAAAAAAAGTAATCATTAGGAAATCAAAAAATAACAAAATTGGGGCTTGCAGGTTAGCTCAGTTGTTTAAGCCCCTGCTTAAGACAAACCCAGTCAGATGTAGGGGACCTCGATTTGATCCCTAGCTTCACACACCTTACCAGACCCACCCTGAAGGCAGCCTGAGCCAGCCAAAAAAAAAATTCTTCTCAACTTTTGGGGGCCTGCATTTTAGCTCAGTTGTTTAAGCACCTGCTCAGGCAAACCTAGCCAGGTCCTGGAGTTCACGGTTCAATCCCCAGCTCCACGTGCCTTACCAGACCCGCCCTTAAGGCAGCATGAGCCAGCAAAAAACCCAAAAAATCCTTCTCAACTTTTTTAGCTCAGTGGATTAAAGAACCCCCTTGGGCAGACACAGGGGAGTCTATGTTTGATTCCCCAGCCTGCCCTAGCCCCAGGATGCACTGAGGTAGCGACTAAGACTGGGCATGGTGGTGCAGGACTGAATCCCAGCACTTGGGAGGCTGTAAATAGGCCAATCACTACAAGTTCGATCTAAGCAGTGAGACCCTGTAGACCCTGTCCTAATATACAAAAAAATAAATAACAAATGCTTTCTATGCTGTGGTGGGAAAGGAACCCCTCCTTCACTGTTGGTGGTACAGTACTTATGACAATCAGTATAGAAACTTCAAAGAACTGAAATTAGAAATCCCACTCACCCAGCCATCCCTCTTTTATTTAGGTATCTTTCTCAAAGAGCTTAAGACATCGTTCCACAGTAGTATACCCATACCAATGTTTATAGCAGCACAATTCCTAATGGCTAAATCCTGGAAATAGCCTGTATACATTAACAGATGATTAGATAAAGAAAATGTGCTGTCTGTATATAATAGAATATTATTTGGCTATACAGAATGACACATTTGAGACATTTGTAGGAAAATATATACACCTGGAAAATATTGAGTGAAATGAATCAGATGCAGAAGCTTAAATACCGTAAGACATCTCTCCTCTGAATGAAGCAAAGTATAAAACAAAACAATAAATGGAGAAAAAGATAAAGGGACCAGATCTCCTGATAGGAAAGTGGTCCAAGGAAATAAAAGTAAGGGGTGAGAGAGGAAGGGGAAATTAGAAGAAAAAGATATGCTATATACAGGATCCTACTAACCCCAATTAATGTAAACACTACAAGCCCTAACATGAGCTAAAACAAATATCAACAAGCATGAAAAAGGGGATGGGGAACTAGAGTGGAGGGGAAGGAAGTATAGTATATACACATAACAATTCCAAAAATGACTATGAATTGCAAACATATATTAATAAAAATTAAAATTTTTTAAACTATCTGTTCTGCACTTTCGATTTCTAGAATTGTTTTAAGGATGTATCTTTCTTAACTGTGACTACAAGATATCTTGTGGCAGGACTGGCAAGATAGTGCAACAAACTATGCTCCTGCTTAGGCAGGCGCTGGGACCAACCAGGGTTCAATCCCTGTTACGGCATGCTGAGCCAACCACCGAGTCTGGGCGTGGTGGCACATGCCTATAATCCCAGCACTGGGGAGACTGAAAACAGGAGGATCACTATGAGTCCGAGTGGCATAGTGAGACCCTGTACAAAATACATACATACATAAGTAAATGAAAGATATCTTGTGGCAAATGGAGAAAAAGTATAACAATAGTGGAAAATAGAAGAGGATTCCTTTTTTAATATCACATTTTATTGTAGAAATTAAAGGCTAGAAAGTGATTAAAAAAAAAAAGTTATAAAGTTGCCACAATAATAATCTGAAACTTCACACTTTTTTTCTTCTACTTGAAATTGAATCCTGCGACACTTTATTATTAATCTATAGCCTCTTTCCATTTATTATTTTATTTTGAAACAGGGTGCTGTTGCCAAGTTGCGAAGTAGAACTTGTATTTTCAATACTCCTGCCTCAGACTCCCAGAGTGCTAGAATTAGAATGCTGCCTCAGATTGAAATTGACATTCCTACAAATGTCAAAGAATACAGACAATCATTTTCAAGACTTCCATTATGTGATATTAAAAAAAGCAACAGGGCTGGGGAGACAGCTCAGTAGAATAAGCACTTGTCTGGCAAGCGCAAGATCCTGAGTTCAATCCCCAGTACCACACACAAAAAAAAAGCAACAAATACTTAATTTTTCTTTATTTAGTGTCATAATATATTTCAAAACAAACTACAAAAATAGAAGTTAATGGGCAATAATATTTTACTATTTTTGTCTGAACAAAATTTCTCACAAAATACAATCATTTTACCACAATCAAAACAAAAGACATAAATGTGGTGGGCCATTCCTTGATTAAAAACCAAGCACTCAGTGTGTATATCTGAGCCACTGAGTATTAATTTGGATATGAAAATGCCAAGTATTTTGATGTAATATTAAAATTCTTTCAGAAACATGTCATGCAATCAACAAATACAAATTTCTCTTGAAACTGTATTGTATGAATTAGAAATAAAAAGAATATTATATATCTCATAGTAGGAGAACTTCAATGTATATACCAAATTACCTTTATAAGTTTAGGTAATAGGCTAACTACTCTGCACTGATCACTGCCCAATCTGTACACAAATGAAAACATCACACTGTATCACCTGAATACATACAAATAGGGATCAAAACCTTTAAAAACTGGCTGATTTTTAAAAGTGAGCATATCTTTTTGGTAATGACAAACATGTTTTTTAAAAAAGCCTGGTTTTTCTCAATACACCTTTAAAGGTTTTTAAATTGTTTCATATCTGGTCAAGTTGAGATTTTTAAGAACTTCATTTTTAATTTATCATAAATGTTTACAACTTTTTTTAAAAAAAGTCAATAAACTGCAAGCACCTGTTAATAAAGGTCTTCAATAATAAATTAATAATAAACAAAAATAAATACAAATAGCTTTTAAAATACCTGATTTTCCTTCTCATTTACTTCCTTCTTGTATTCTTCTTCAAGGTGCTGGATTTTTTCATTATCTTCCTTCACTTCAAAAATAAAAAACATACCATGTCTTAACAAAACTGTATATTTTTTCAATACAAACAAAATTTAAAGATTATTTCACTTCTCAACACTATCACTGCCATTTTCTGCTAATTTTGTTTAGTGAAACAGTTAATTTAATAATTTCAAAGTTACTACTTAAAATTCTATATTTCTCACATAGAACACACACAAAACTTAATTCTTTACATTAATCTAAAATAAAAATGCTAGATATATAATTATCTTAACATGTATATTTTACAAAGAAATACAAAAGACCAAATTATACATCTAAAAAATTAAATACAAACCATAATAAATTTGATGTCATGAAAAATGTAATTCTTTTTTTTTTTTTTTTTTTTGGAACCAGGGTTTTGAACTCAAGCCCTTGTGCTTGCCAGGCAAGCGCTTATTCGACCAAGCCATTTCCCTGGCCCCTGAAAAATGTAGTTCTAAAGCCAAAAATATTCTTAATATATATTAACTCCTGGAGACGTTTCACAAGATTTAGAACGACTTCAGAAACACAGTATGATATAATTGAGGGCATCTAACTGAAGTTATAGATAAAAACATAGTAAAAATTAAAATACCTAAAGAGTAATATAAAAATTCAATAAGAAACCTACACTTAAAATACATTTCCAGTCTGGAATTCTCAGCTTGCACCCGAAGGTCCTCAAAAGCGATTATCATTTTCTGGAATATAAAGTTTAAGTTTTAAGAATCATTCTTAGGGTTTTTTTTTGTAATTTGATACAAATAGTTGAATATTCAATTCCAGTCTGCAAAGCATAATACAAAATATGGTTACAACATAGTAGACATGAATTTCACTTAAATATTTGTGAAATTTTACAACTTATCTAAGAAAATGACACCACTTATATTTTATATTTTTCCTCAAAATATGAAAATTTTAATACATTTTAGCATGCAGTCAACTAGATATAATTATACAACTATGAATAATAAAAGCTATCATTTCAAACTAGTGATTTAAAGGCCAAATAGCTCAAGCGGATTAAAGCACCTGTAAGCAGGCACAGGGCTGGGGGTTCGATCTCTGGGTCTGTGGTGCCAGCTCCGCCCACAGGACATACTAAGACAGCAATTGAGATTGGGCACGGTGGCATGCACCTGAAACCCTAGCTCTTGGAAAACCGTAAACAAGTAGATCACCATGAGTCCCATTTAGTAGTGAGACCCTGAACAGCCTGTAGACCCTTCCCCCTGCCAAAGGAAAAAAAAAAGTGATTTAATAAAAATGTATTAAGAATGCCCATAATAGTTTCCTAGGTGTTAAAGGTATTTGAGTCATTGTATAAAAAATATTCGTAAAATTGAGGCCGGGGCGATGGCTCAGTAGAGTAAGCGCTTCCCTAGCAAACACAAGGGCCTGAGTTCAATCCCTGGCTCCGTAAAACAAAAACAAAAAA